TGTATCTCACCCGTGACCTGTTCATACAATTAAAAACGCTCTCTCTCTCTCAAGAAATAGAACTTCTCTCTCAAGCAAAATTTTGCTCGAATCGCGGAGGCTTCTGATTGCAAGGCAATGGTAAGCGGTCATTGCTTGGTGCAGCTTTGGTACAGAAGCAAGGTAGTAAGGGTGGGTAGGCCTATTGAACACTGATTATTAACCAGAGAGCTGCCAAGCAAAGTGAACCCAAATTCATCTCTAAGCTAATTGACCCCTGAGCAAGCAAGATGAACACCCCTGTAAGAACTCAATCTAACTTGTCATTGAAAAGCTCAGCCTGAAAAGAACGGCCTGTCAGGCATGGGCATTTGTCCATTGCCGTGCAGAAGGATTGGGAGAAAGAGCGCTCAAAACCAAATGGCGCTGCAGCCTTGCCATAGACAAGCGGAGGAGCAAGCACCCTTCAGCCCCTGCTTTGGACTGCTGGGACAGCTGGGACAGCGAGGCTGATGTGCTTGAAAGCCACTTCCAGCAGGAGCACCAAGCTTGGATGGTCTGCTTGCAGGAGCCCTTTGGCTTCAGAGGTGCCATCAAATGTGTTCCAGACTCGCACTCATACACTACAATGCCATATGACCACAGGTCTACAGCTGGTTGAAGATGCCGGCGCAAATCATCAATGGATGCGTTCCAAAGCTCGGGCGGTCGATAGTGGGCACTGACATACTCAATGTAGCGTGGCTGGATCTCGTCTGTCCCATCATGGGAAGCTAGCCTTTCAGACATACCCAAGTCGGTCAACTTCAAGTGTGAAGCTTCTGACAGCCAAAGAATGTTCCCGGGTTTGACATCTAAGTGCAAAATGCACAAGCAATGAAGCTGCTGGAGGGCGGCTCGCAATTGCAACGCAATTGACTTGACAGTTGCCTCCTCAAAGCCACCTGACTGTTGCTGCAACAAAGCCAACAAGGAGCACCCCCAAAGTTCTAAAGCCAGGGAATGAAACGGCTTGCTATGCACTGATGCTTCCCACAATGATGGAAACCAGTGGGCTTCCGGCGCCTGCACGCAAAGCTTCATGAGCGATGCTTCCCACTGCATGTCACGAATGGCAGATTTGCCTTTGAACACTTTGACTGCGCATTTCCGACCATCAAGGTGATGGCAAAGCATGACACAGCCATAGCTTCCCTCTCCCAGCAGAACACACTGCTGTGTGTTGCTTGGATCTGCTACAGGAACAAAGTTGTGGAAGGGTGTTGGCCTCTCTGCAGCAGGAAGCTGTGTTTCACTGGCAGGCTTCAAAGGCTCCTGCTGAGGCTTGGCAGGTTGCCTTCGCACCTTTCCAAGCCCGCTCTGCTTCAAGGAATCGCGCTGCCTGGCATATTCCTCCACGCATAAGGCCCTGTATTTTGCTTTTTCATTTTCAGGTAAGCTGGCCCACAGCTTTCCAAGCCTTTGCATTTCCTTGGCAAAGCAATCTCTTGAAGACCCTTTGGGCACTTCGCTGTGCTTCTTCAGGAAAAGCGCAAATGGCCGACAAGCTTTTGGAGCAAATCCGTCTCGGACAGCTGCCATCCTTTGAGTAAGGTCGCCCTTTGGCCTTTTCTTAGTCTTGACGCTGCAAGCTGGCTTTGGCCATGGCTGTTTACCCCGAAGGCGCAAGCAGGGCGCTGCCATGTCGTTGGGGCAGCTGGGACAGCGGATACAGCTAACTTCTGCTGAGCCTGGCACATTAGACGGCAAGTTATAGCTTGACAAGCTATTAAGAGTGACAACCGGCAGTGGCACAAGGTGAACAAGAACCGACACGTTGACACACAAACTTGAGGGCAAGGTCCTCCCTTTTTTCAACTTGTCTAACTTGCAATCATCAGTCGTATTGACGCCAAAACTGCCAGATGCAAATGCTTGCCTGGGGGCAGGCTGAGCAGAGCAGCTGGTGACGGCAGGTCAGGTCTCATCGCCGCTTGTAATCGCAAGTCACACTGATGCCAAAATTGTCAGCAACTGGGACTGCTGGCTACGGCTGGTGACGGCTGGTGACGGCTGGTGTTGGCTGGTGTGAAGGCAGGTCAGGCCTCGTCACCGCTCGCAGGCTCCAAGACATCTTCATCCTCATTGGCTTGCGGCACGAGTGCAAGGAGCACATCTGGAAAATGGCTTTTGATGTCCTTCGCAAGCGCCTCTGAGTAGAGGCTGGATGCTTGCACAGAGGCAAGCCCACAAGCTGCCCTGTCTGCAATAGCCTGTAGCAAGGACAGGTGGTCTCTGTTGAGGCATAGGCCGTGGTATTGCACGCCTCGTGTCAGGCATGCCTCCATCAAGGCTCCTGTCCCTGGCGTGACATCGAAGACAGCCTTAATCTTCAGCTCGTCAAGCAGGGCAATGTAGAAGCAAATGGGCTTGCCCTCCTGCCAAAACAAAGGCACGTCTTCGCCGTGAAGATCCCTCCATGTGTCTGGAGCTGCTTTGACGGCAGGGACGGCTGGGACAGCTGTGGCCAGAACCTTCCCCTTCTCCTGAGAGGAAATTAAGGGCAGCTCTGAGGCAGGTCGAAACTTGACCCCACTGTATGTCCCTTGATAATTAGTCGCTTCTCCGCATGAAGTGAACCTTTCCTTCTTGGCCGTCTTGATCCGAAGTCTGGAGACAGGAAACCTGACCACAGCGGTCTCAACCTTCTTGGCTGTGAAGGGTGTCCGCCGCGTTCGGCCTGCCCTGGGCGGGCAACCCCCCAGTGTAGATCACATGGATCTCTTCCGTCTGCGGCTGGGAAAGCAATAAATCTTCCTTGGCAAAACTGTCCAAAAGCCAAAAGGTGCTAAGCCAAGCAAGCAAATTATTCATATTAATTCTTATTCACTGAAATCAACGTCAACTTCCCAAACGCTGTGGGACAGCTGTTTTTGGTCTTCCCAGTCGAGAGGCGTGCATGCGCCTCACTTCACGCATCCTGCCATCAAAGACCAGCGCGAAGTCAGAAGAGCCTGTGCAGGAGCCGCAAAACTCCACAATGGCTTTCCATGCGGTCTTGTCTGGGCACGCTTGGGTCAGCCAAGGTTCATCCTTGTGCTCGCTGAGCAAATCAGCTGAAGCTGTAAGCAAGCGGTGGCTTGAATTCAGTTGGCCAGAATGGCTGTGCACTTTGCCACATTGTCGGAAGGCATTGGTCAAGTGATCTTTCGAGGCAAAGCTCTTTCGTCTCTCTGCCTGCACTTGTTTCCAAGTCTCCTCCCTCTTGGCCGCGGCAGATTCACTGCTGTCTCCCTCAGCAGCATTCAAAGTTTCGATCAATGAAAGCGCCGGGCAGGATGTCTGGTTGAGTGAAATGGTCTTTTGGCCGGCATCAAAAGACTGCACAATAGAGCACACAAGCTTGATGAAGTCAGAGACATGCTCTTCATCTTTGAGCGGCTAACACGGCTTGGGCAGCTGCGTACTTCGTGCAGCTTGTGACACTGCATCAGCCACCTTTGTGTCGTTCTTCGCCAAATCCTTGCAATCATCCAGATGCTTTCCGGCAACCAAATCCACTAGCAACTCAAGCAGTGCACCTGTAGCCTTGTTGAAGTCTGCCTTTGCCTTGTCTAGCTCAGACTGTTCTGAGTCTGGCGCCTCTGCCTTGACAGCTGCATCCTCATCTATTGCTTCACCGCTGGCCTGAAACTGAGCCTGGAGGAA